AAATGAAATGTATAGATAACAAAAATGGAAAAATATTTGTTGATTTCTTAATTTAGAGTCTCCATTGTCTAAAGAGGTTTGTTTTTATTAAAAATGTACAAAATAGCTTAATTCAGAAACGATTTAAGTTTAAAATTGAATTGATATTTTTACTTTCATGATAACTTTTATGCACTTGACTCTAGGCTAGGTGATCTGACACTATGTCTTTACTTTAGGCTTATTATACCAACACTCATTACCTTTATAAGTTTTTATGCCCCACCCCACCTCCATGGCCCGCTTGCACCCCCGTCACTAAAATTGTAATGAGCAGACAGTAATCTAACTATTCTATCTGGATAAATGCACCTTGGCTTTTATGACTCCTCCTATTTTGAGAAATTAAGTGTGGTGGGATGTGAAACACAGGTTTTTATGTAGGTTGGATTAAAGTATTTGTAACCTAAAGTCTGTTGAATTTGTTGAAACTTGAGAGTATAGTATCTTGAATATGGAGATGAACTAGTGAAATGTCCTCCAATATGATAAAATTACTGTAGTTTTTTTCCTTAAAACATATAATTGAATAAGTTAACTAGAAAGTAAGAATTGTTTGTAATGTTTTGTTTTTTCACTTCAAGTACGTCACTATTTTTTTTTGCATGATAAACTTATTATACTTGGTGATCACAACGTTATTCCTATTAAACTAGGGAAATAATAATAAAAAAATAATAATAGACAGGAAAAATATAATACCAATATACTTAGTATGCATGAGTTACTATACATAAATAATCAAAAAGTGACATCTTTATTTAGAAGATTTTAGCTCTCACAGTAATTATTGTCTTTGTTTACACATTTCTTAACTCCTGGACTAACCGTTAAGATTTTTTGAAGCTTCTAGCAAATTATGTTTATATGAAGTAGCATAAAATGAACGGAGTTTCTTCATAATATTTTCTATCTATAAGTCATATGGGGTGTACCTTAAAACATCTTTGTCTTTCTAGACAAGCCACAACCTCCAACAGGACCACTGAAGGTAGAGGAAGTTCGTGCCAATCATGTCAAGCTGAAATGGAAAAAGCCTAAGGATACTGGTGGACAAGACCTGAAAGGATACGTTATTGAAAAGATGGATACTGAAACTGGAAGATGGGTACCTGCTGGTGAGGTTGGACCTGAAAAGGATGGTTTCAAGGTAGAGGGCTTGACTCCCAAGAAAAAATACAAGTTCAGGGTTAAAGCCGTTAACAAAGAAGGAGAATCAGATCCATTGGAGATTGATGAGCCAATTGTTGCAAAAAATCCATATGGTAAAGAAAAGATAGTTTTATGTGAAATATTCTATTTACCAGGAAAATATTCCATTTTGTTTATTTCTGACAATCTTTTATTAAGAAAAAGCAATGTTACTTGCTACATTTTATTTATATATTATACCTGCAAATATTAGTTCTGATACAACACCTTACCTCCTCTCACATAATAGCTTTACTCGACTTGTGCTGCCCTTTTTTTTGCACAATTTTCGCTCGCCATTATCCTTGATGCTTCCATCTACTCTCACGTGATAAAGCTGTGCTGTAGCATGCAAACAAGTATGCAATAACCTTCCATAAATAGGAGTGCAAGACACCCTCCTAGAGCAGCCGAATAACTCTATACTCTAGAGCACTCTCATCACTTCTTAATTTGGCATTCCAGTGTGTAGTCATGCTCAATTTTTGCTCCATGTTTTGCATTATCGTGTGCAATTTCATTTAATTTTCAACATGGTTTCGTCCCTGGGACCGAGTCACGTGACCTTCTGTACTCGATTAAAGTTGACATAAATTTAATACTTATAACTCTCTATATATTGGGTATATCTTCACAAATTTTGGCAGTCTTTCAGTTGATATTACATGTCTTTCACATACAAAAAGTCTATTTCTTAGTGAAGTACTTTTAATAAAATAAAATAAAGTTTTGTCCATGAATATACTGAGTATTTTTTTTAATAGTCCGTGTGCAAAGTAATTTTCCTGTTAAAATTAAAAATACTTTTTGCCATCTTAAAAATCTCAAATTTCCTTTGTGTAATCCCTAAAACCTCCTAAATGCATTTAAAACGTTTTTTTTTCCACTAAATCCTTATAGTTTATGTTATTTTCTTTATCCTAATTTCAAAACGGGATTGGTCAATTTGACCGACCTTGTAACCACCCCAAAGAAATCGAAATAAACCTAAATTAACCTTCTTTTCTTTCTAGTATGACTTCAAATTATAACATGAAACTACATTCGTTTATCCTAAGTCCGTAACATTATACATCTATTTATAATTAAATTTTATTGTTTTATTGCCCTTTGAACCGTGTTTAGCTGCTATCTGCACCATTATAAGTTGTAAATCACTCAGGGAATGTGCAGCTCATGTTACACTATCGAATTACATCACCCACGTGTGTGCTATGTGAACAATTCTAATTATATTATTATTATTACTTATTTTACCTATTCTAGTCTTAAATAACTTAAAAGGATTCATAATTTTAATTTTAGTTGCTTTTATAATAATAAATAAAGAATAAATATGAAAAACAAGAATAAAGTTCTTACCCTGTCTTTTTTTTCCTCTCCCCCGATTCTCGATGAGAGTTAAGCCTGATTTTTTTTAGTGATTATAGTAAAGCATTAACAATTATTATTTAATTAAATAATACACCAAAAAATATAGACTAATACCATGCAAAAAGTAGACAAATTCACTTCTAAAAATTTTCCTGGCTTTCTAACTATGCGACAAGAGCTGTTAGAAATTCATCCTAGCTAGTCGTTAACTTTCCCACGTGAACGTTGTTGCTACTCAGAGTGACATTGACGGTTATCTGTTCAAAACAGAATGTTATACAATACACCATTTGATAGATGAAAACCTTGACTTTCTATTGGTTATAAATAATATATAATGAAACGTAAGAGAGAACTATCAACCAATTGTGACAGGTGGGTGTGTCAGAGAGGTCTGATTTTCTCTTTGATAGCTCTGTAACAAAACAAAATTGAAGGCCATAAAAATTATGGTATGTTTGAGTAATAATGATTTTATAGAGAGC